CATATCTTGCTCTCTTACCTACTCTCTCACTCTCTCCACGTATCTCCTCTTATCACCATCTTTGCTACTCTTCCACCCACTCTTCTGCTACTCTCCATCGTACACTCTCTTTCCTCTTCCTCATTTCATTGCACCTCTACTCATCCCTCCCTGTGACCATCCACTACTGCCCGTGTTGTTTTAATGCCCCAGTGCCCCTTTTACTTTTTATTGCAGTTTTTCCCTTACCTATATTTATTATGATATTTTTTATTTTTTCCATAAGTTTATTTTATTGTTAATTTTAATAGATAGAGCATGGTATCCCGTTTAGCTGATGAAAGAATTTCCTAATATTGCAGTTTATAATAATAATTATTAATGAAATTCTTATAATCGGTATTAATTGAGTCTCAGGTAACTCGCCAGAGGAAAGAGAAAAGCGAGAGAGAGACTGAATGTCACGTGGAACGGACTGGTATCAAGACCTCACGAGGAACCAAGTAGGAGAGGCGAAGTAGAGAGACGAGAGAGAGAGCCCGAGAGAAAGGAGCAGGGAACAGAGAGACACGAGCATTAGGAGGCACACCTCAATAACCACATGAATACCGGTGCAACTAGCGAAGAAGAGATCAGCAATCCACAGCGAGAGATCTAGATATCGATAGCACTCATGAGAAGAGGGGAAGGACCTCAAGAACAGACTCGCAGAGTACATTATTCCGCGGTACAACAATAGACCTACGAAACGCAATCAACACCCATCAATCTCCGAACCATTCTAGTCAGTTCTATAAGATCCTCGACGACCTCCTGCTCGCGAACGAGGATCTTACCTATTGCACCCTACCACGTGCGCCTCACATTTCCCAGAGCAAGCTGGGATACCCTGCGCCATCGGGAGATCCAATTTTATCAGGAGTATTTCTTGAGTCCTCCCCAGTTGACCGAGATGCCACAGTATCTCCGAAGCGTGAAGCTGAATTGTCATGAGCTCCGATTCATCGACCACATAACAAGCATCGACAACACGCGACGACACAACTGTGAGAGATTTTAGCTATGCCTCGTCCTAGGCAAGGCTAGCTACCGGATCGCGAGAGTTTGGGAGAATGGCACTGAGGAGTGAGGGATATAAGATGCACGAGAGTGATGGGATAGAGGCATATGAGAGTGTTGAGATAGATGAGCCAACTGAGAGTAATGAGGGAGATTAGGCACTGAGCGTGAGGTGACGATGGCAACTGAGAGTGTATGAGATTGGCACCTGAGTTATGCATCATTGAGAGTAGGTGAGGGAGATGGCACTGAAGGTGTGATAGATGGCACTGCCGAGAGTGAGGGAGATGGCACCGAGA